ATGACTGTGACCACCGCCGTAACCTCCAGAGATGGAGCATAAAGGAGCAGTGTGGGCACCAGCAAAGAGTTACGCTGTGGATCAAGGGGCAGCGGGGATAACTATACACAAAGTTCAAGTGTAATAGATCTCCACATTGTGGAGCTGGTCAAGGTAGTGTGAGGTAACAGAGTACATGCAAGCTCTGGGGCTGGAAAACCCAGGTAACCAGGCAGGGCCTAGAGCTGACAGTATCTCATGTGAGCTGAGACACCAGCATCATTTTCCCTTCCCTATATATGAAGTGCTCCCAGAAACAAGACCCAGGTGGGCAGAGTAAGCATCAGTTTCATGGGCAAAAGCATGGGATCACATTTGCCAGATCTCAATACATTATAGTGACAAAAACATGAAGCTGCCATCTGTGAAGAGCAGCTACATTGGATTAGCAACTATGACATCACCCATTTCATATGCATTCAGATTGAAGGTATTTAGTGGTCAGATACTGATCAAAGATGATTTATGTCATGCTATTTTTGCTTGCACATTATTGAGACACCCAGGTTCAATGTTGAAGTTATCAGCAATGATGGTATAAAAGACTTCAGCCAGCTTTTGGTGCAAGTTCCAAGGGTCCTTTGTGAGCCACACAAATTCAAATCCTCGACTGTCATGTAAGTGTCCCGATTGGGCTGAGTGCAGTTTCAGGTTCAGCATTTGATGGGCCTGAAGGGTTTTAACAAGTGGTGTTGGTCTGCAAGCACACCCTTTTCATTGTCATGTTGTGGTCGCAGCCGGTGTGACACCTTCACCAAGTGGCTGCACATTGTGAGGTGGAATGTGAATGTCCAACATCTCCCTTGTAATCCACGTCCAATATATCTCACTGTGTGATAAACTGTACTTACTTCTCTTTTGGAGAATATACCTCCCGATAAATGATCTTTGAGTTTTAAGAAACTCTTTCATTCCTTCTGAGAGTGAAGAGCCTTGCTTCTGATGGCATGTTGGTCACTGTAATTACCTACACAAGAAAGTGAAGGCGGATGCAGAAGGAGCAGTGCTGACAGCAAGCCCAGGAGCAGCAGCAAGCTGCATATAAGTCAACAAACATCCAGCTGAGAGAGAGTTCATTGCCATGGGCCCCTCAGGATGTGGGCATGAATAGGAGACCCAGAATTTTCCAGTGCAAAATCCATTTCTTGGCCATGAATGAGGCATAGTGTCAACACAGGCTCTGTCCCAGGACACTGCGCTGGAACTGTACCAGGTGCTGAAGCAGGAACTGGGAGCTCAGGGCTGGGAGGCCATCTTCTCCCAGTGGCTGTGAAGGCCGTTCCTTCCAGAGAGAGCTGGGAGACCTGTGTGGGATCACTCAGTAGTGCACCCACAAATTCATCAGGACAGGGACCAAGGTCACGGCAGTTCCTTTTGTTCCTTCAAGACAAGGTCAGTGCTCCAGCCTGGGCAGTAGGATCTGGGAGCCTAGCTGGGCAACCCCAGGTGCAGGGTGCCATTGATTGCTCACACATGGCACTGAGAAGATCATGTCACACCATTGCAAATTCCATTCAATTAATGTTCAGGTCATCTGTATTCACCATTATCACTTTCTGGATGTGTATGGCCACTACCCTGGCATCTGCCACGACTCTTACATCATGGAGCACTCTCAAGTACCTGGTGCATTTGGTTGGTCCAGGGGCTTCTGGGGACAAGGTCTACCCACTGCGATTATAGCTCATGACACCATTGTGGAACCCTCCAACTGCCAGAATACTGATTTATTGCCACCCATTCCCCGACCTGGGCCATGGTGGAGCAGAATAGAGGGCTATTGAAGATGGGATTCTGCCACTTGGACTTGTGAGGGGGAAGGGGGTCCAATATATTTGGACATAGTAGACCATAAGACCATAATACGAGCATAATTAGGCCGTTCTGCCCATCACATCTGCTCCATGGTTCAGTCATGGCTGATATGTATATCAACCTCATTCTCCTGCCTTCTCCACAACTTTTTATCTCCTTACTAGTCAAGACCGATCTATCTCTATCTTAAATACACTCAAGGACTTGGCCTCCACAGTACTCTGGGGCGATGAGTTCCACAGATTCATCACCTTCCGGCTGAAGAAATTCCTCCTCCTCCTCTCAGCTTTAAAGAGTTATTCCTTCACTAAGACTGTGCCCTTGAGTCCTAGTCTCTCTGACTAATTGAAATACCTAAAGTTTTTGAGAAGATTTGTAGCTCGGGTTGTGGATGAGCTTGTAGATTTGCTCACCGAGCCGGTGTGTTTGGTTGCAGACATTTCGTTGCCCTGCTAGGTAACATCGTCAGTGCATCTCTGATGAAGTGTTGGTGTTCTGTCCTGCTTGTCATTTATATGCCTCGGTTTGCTGGGGTTGTTGGCATTACTTCCGGTCCTGTTTTTCAGTGGTTTGTATATTGGGTCCAGTTCAATGTGTTTGTTGATGGAGTTTTGGTTTGAATGCCGACCTCCAAGAATTCCCTGGTATGTCTTTGTTTGGCTCATGTTATTATGGATGTGTTGTCCCAGTCAAATTTGTGTCCTTCTATGTTTGTGTGTATTGAGACCAGTGAGAATTGGTTGTGTCTCTCAGTGGCTAGTTGGTGTTTGTGTATTTTTATTGTCAGTTTTCTTCCAGTTTGGCCTATGTAACGTTTTTCACAGTCCTTGCATGGTATTTAGTATATTAAGTTAATTTTATTGTTATGTACTTATACCCACTTTATCCAGGCCTCTCAGTATTTTGTGAATTTCAATGAAATTCCCCCCTCATCCTACTAAACTCCATCAAGTACAGACCCAGACTCCTCAATCGCTCCTCATATGACAAGCCCTTTATCCCAGGATCATTCTTGTAAGCCCACTCTGGACTACATGTATGCCACCTCATCCTGGTGCAGTGTGTGAGGGAAGGTGCTGGATGCTGAGGAACCAAGAGAATGGTAACAGTCTTCCTAGTGGGAGAGTGAGAACAGTAGAAGCTGACATTATTCATGACAGAGCTCAGCTGCTTCGGCACTATGAGCCAGACAAAACCTCACTGATACCAGGTTCCAGTAGAAGAGAACTGAGCAGGAAATCATTGAGGGTACACTTTGGTTTATAATGTCTAAGTCTGGTCAGCATTGTGGGGGCGAAGTTCAGCCTCTGGTGTTGTTTCTGTTCCCTTTTGTGTTCTGTAAATAACAGCTATGTTTTGTTTGTTGCTTTCTTTTCAAACAGCAACTACAAAGCAGGTCGGCATAGGAAAACTGTGAAGAGAATTACTTTATTCTATATGCTTACTCTTACAGCTAATACTTAACTGAGCCCCCAGTTCCACCCTTGTGAATCACCTGACCAGCTCTCTTAAAGGGGCAGCTCCCCAACTTAATACATAATGTGGCTCACATTTGTCTTTGTATTTATCCAACTCCTAGCTTACCTGTGATGTTCCCAAAGTGGCCAATGGCAAGCTGCAGGTCTGCAGTGGGGAACAGGATAATGCTGACTTAGAGCATGTACAGACAGGATGTACTTATGCACACCTAAAGTGTGCAGTGGTGGTTAAACAGCAGTTAGGGTGAATGGGGTTATAAGTGGAAGGGAGCTTCAGCATGGGCAGCATGGCTATATGGCTGCTATGTCAGGGCAGTGCCAGTGAAGATCAATGCTGCAATGCCAACACTTGTCTAGGTGCACAGTGAACTTTCAAATTTAGCGTGAATGCAAGGGGTGTTGGTCTTTGGGCATTATCCATAGAATAGTGAGTTGCTCTGGGAATAGTTTGTGGTAAGATGGGACGGAAACTGGATGTGAGATACGTCATTAATCACCTACCATGCTCTATGGTGTGAGTTTGGTAAAATAGGGTGAGAAATCTTGCTCGGCCTAATGGTGAAAAACCTTCAAAAAATCTTGACATAACTCAGACTTAGATGAAAAATTAAAATTCAGCCCAACATTTATTCTGTATGAGAAAAGAGTGCCAACTGGTTGGGGTGTGGAATTTGATTAATGTAGTGTGGGATGGAGATAACTGACAAGTTTTGTTTAAATTTTAAAGCAAGAAGTTTGATTCTGATTGGTCGAAGCATTGTCATGAGTAATGAGCAGGAAATGGTTGTCACCAATTTTGTTGAATTGAAACAGATGCAGTGTGTACATGTTCTGAGTCGTTAGTGCTGCTGCCTACAGCACCAGGGATCTGGGTTCAATTCCACCTATGGATGACTGTCTGTGTGGTTTTCTTACCACAGTCCAAAGGTGTGCAAGTTAGGTGGATTGGCCATGCTAAATTGCCCACAGTGTCTAGGGATGTGAAGGCTGGATGGATTGACCATTGGAAATTCAGGGTTATAGGAATAGGGTAGGCAGGTAGGTCCGGGTGGGATGCTCTTTGGAAGGTTGATTCAGATTTGATGGGCTGAGTGGCCTGCTTCCACACAGTATGGATTCTGGATAATTCTTTGTGCACTTGGGATTGTTTAGCAAATGTTGTCCAACCATGGAATCATATTCAATATTGGACACTATTTTGAGTTTTGTAAGCTCAGGCTGATTGGGCATGGTTGACACCTTGGTTGTTCAAAAAAGATGAAGGACATGCTGTTTGATACATCACCAGTCTTTGCGAAGCCCCAAACCTATATACCTAGCATCACACCGACACAAAACTTCATACAGGTCTAAGGCTGTCACTTATGGTCTGAAAAGTGCCCAATGACAAAAAATTATCTCAAAACAGTGGATTACGCCCAAAGAGCAACAGGCGACTCTCATTGTATCTTGCTGCATGAGTGGTGTTCACCACCAACAGGATGCTGCTACCGAGACAATAAGATGTTCTGCCTGTCATACAAAAGAATAATGTTGGTCTGATGACTGCAAGATGAAAAACTAGACAAAATGCCTCTTTTTCACCAAAACTCAAGTTCTGTACTACCTGAAGACCAAATGATGTATTATTTGATGAAAGCCAAAAATAAATATGCTGAAATATTTTGTATAAATTACTTTAATTTTTCATGGCAACATATTGTTTAAATGTGAAAAGACGTGTGATATAACCAAATCCTGAGATCCAAAATGTCAATGTAAATTCTTAAATATAAGTCTATACATTCAGCATACACGTGTATTAATTAAAAATAATAATATTTTATCATATTGTTGGTCAGTGCCTATCCCAAAGTGAGTTTATCCATATTCCAACCTCCATTTTGCTCTCTTTGCAGAAAAGGCTATGTGTACAATGTAATAGATTCTTCCATGGCTTGTATTAATGCACTGCATTATCAGTTGACAGCAAATGTTTATCTGTAGATTAGTGTGGGCCTAATCAGGGTGTGACTGCTCTGAGTTGGAATTGTACTGCTACCACACTGTATAATCTAAAAGCTGGGAAAATTTTGCTCAGTGATAGAATAAATTATTTATGTCAGTGTCTTTTTTAAAGTATCTTGTGAATCACTAAGTTTGTGGGCTATTTGAAACAATAAATAAAGTTTTATGATCTTCAGTATCTTGAAATGGGCTTCTTCTAATGCCCAATCCAAAAGTTCCACTCAATGTGAAAAGACATCCTTCTCAATACTTAATGCCTTTGCTGTTTGGGTGTAGTGGTGTACGGATGTGCAATTATTGCAGTATTGTTATTTTTGGCAGGAACTTAAATACTCTTTAATAAATTGTAATATAATTACTTCATACTTTGATTCCCTAATATCTATTTATTCTCAATTTTTCAACCACAGTAATATATACATTTACACCGAAAGGATTATAGGATTTGCTGGTATTATTGAAGTTTATCTGCATGTTGGAGGGACGTCCAATTTAATCTGCATTTTTGTTATGTTTTTTGAACTGAAGCCAGAATTGGGGTTTACAATATGCTTTTCAAAATGCAACTTCCACAGATTGTTAGTACACTTTATTATTACTTACATGGGATGGAATAATTTATTAAAATTCAATGAAGCAATAATGTTTTTCCAGGTGTTTTAATTGTTCTGTATTCCATAATGAAATAATATATTAAATTTGGGAAATCCAAAAAGTAATGATACCATCCTATAATTCGAAACTACCTTGAGCAGTAAAAGATAAAATTGCTCAAAATAATCATCTTGGTAGCATATTTAAGTGCTGAACTAATGCAAAGTCTAGGGGAGTATATGTGAAAGTATTTCCAATATCTATGATAGAGAAAAGTAGACTGATCTTTTAAGAACATAAGAACTAGGAGTGGATGTATGTAATTCCGCCACTTGAGCCTCTCCACTATTTGATATGATCATGTCTGATTTCATCTCGGCTTCAACTCCACTTTCCTACCCACTCCCCATAAACTTTCAACCATGACTAATTAAAAACGTGTCTGTCTCCTCCTTAAATTTACTGAAAAGAAACAAACAGCTGGAACATACTGCAGGTCATCAGTGATTGATTAAAAGACTTAGATTTATACAGTGCTTTGCATAATATCAGTTGTAGGCAGCATAGATAACTATAAGGCCCTATTGCACAAAATTCATTGTTCTCTCCACATATACTGACTGATCTGCTCTTATTTCAAATAGGCAATGTCTGTGTGTTCTTGATTCTTTATTGATATCCATATTCTAAACCTATTGATAGCACAAGAGGTCAGATCTGCTTTTTCACCTTGGATGACTTATGCTTTCTTTAAAGGAAGTGTAATCTTAGAGCACCCTGCAAACAATCATTAGTCACATCGCTCTCTGGTAAACTAACTGACTGAGATGTTGTTGTGGAAAAACCCAATTAATATAGGCCTCAACATTACATCATGGCAACAGGCAAGAAAACCAACTTCATAAAAATTAAGGAAAACTTTGATAAATTTATTTCTTCAGTATTCAGTGTGTAAAAGTGCTTCCCTAGAATTACCCTCCATCTTAAGTAGTTTTGCTGGCAAGTAATTTTTGTTTGCCTCAACTCATCCTGTCTCTTAAACATCAGTCACACCTTTTGATGATTGTGAGTACTTCTGCAATATAAAGTTTACATATGAAGAAATTAATAAAGAAAAGTCATAACAGCAATAAAGCACAATGTTGAGGAATGAACCTATGTTGTAACTGATATTTGATATTAATTATTGTAATTGATAATTGATATTAATCAATAGTGCAAACAGTTACTCATTCATCGGGAGCACCTTGTATCCATGTGCATTAATATAAGTAAGAAAAATCATTGCTCTCTTTTCAATCACATCAATCAGTTTCTCAATTCCTCTGCGTCCTCCTTGACTTTCCCAATAAAGTTTGTCAAGGAACAAAGACTGAAGAAGCCTTTCTCGAAGATGTCCGTTTTTTAGGACGGATACAGCAGATTCTGGAAATCTATGGAAATAAACAAAATCTATTTTATATACTGCTCATAATTGTTTTGTTTAGCATACATAGTAGAAATATAAGCAATGTTATACACTACGTTTTCAATTTTCAACAAAATTATGGTTTTATTATTAATGTTGCTGGAATTAATGTTCATGTTACATTGAGTTCCACCCAGTTTGGTGAAGTCATAGTAGGGAGCTAGTGAATTCTTCAGCTTTTGAGACTCCTAGTAATTATGCCTCACTAGCAATCTAACTGTTCTTGTTGCTATCATACCATGAACCATCTTGAAAAGTGCCTTTTTGTAAAGACTCCCCTACAACGGATCATTAGGTAGGCTCTAGACAGAGTACAGTCCAGGAAATTGATGGTAGTGAATACTTCAAACAATCCTTTCTCTGAACCATATACTGGCAGAGGAGGCAGATACCATGAGGTGCCAGTAGCATCAATCAGAGTTACACTACAACTGAACTGTGATTATACTGTGCACTTGTTACAGTTAAGGACTGATAACGACTTTTCTCACTTTGCTTCCATTTATCAATGTATTTCATGCATTCTTCATAAATCTGTCCCTGTATTGAACCCTAATACATGCCTTAAAATAAAATGGCCTATTAAAACCTTCCAAAATGTTTAGGAAAATATTTAACATTGCACATTTTTAATTGTCTTTCGAAATATTTGTAACATTTTAGCTTTAGAGCTTTCATGGACATTGGACATCTCCTGATCACAAAATGGCCAAGATTTAGAAATGAAAACATAATTAGCTTTTCCAAAAGGGATACCATTGCAGTCTGAGAAGTTATTTTCAGTGCTTTTTTGTATAAGCTGACTTCCTGAATGTTCAGGATGTGCCTTTGCTGCTCAGAAAACCAGATGTTTGATCACCTTTAACCTCGATTACATGACATCAAATTACTATAACTGAAGTCTCACTGGAAATATTTTAGAACACACTAATATTTGGATGCTACAGCACCCATTTTGTGGCATAGAGGGGGAGACAGTGGAGACAGGGGATTCAGTATGGCTTTCCACACCCACTGGCCCTCACTGTTACCTAATCTTAGCTCATTCATTTGCAGGCTCCAATTTTCCTACCTACTGGATAGAAACTGAGGCTCACTCACAAGAATGTTGTCTTCACGTCCGGGATTTAGTTAGAAATTGCAACTTTTGGTCTTGACAGTGAGTATGGCCTCACTTGACATCTCTCTGCATCTCACCTCACAATTTTCCCAAATTCTTTAACATAGTCCACATTGTTCAGCACCTAGGAAGATTCTGCCCTCAGAATACAGCAACAATATTTATCTAATATGATTTAAAAATGGTTCCAAAAATTATTGATTAGAAAAAATTGCTTTTAATCAAATGAAAATACTTTGTTTCTCTTTTCCTTATGTCAGTATTAACATTTTTGTGTTATTCATTGCATCCAAATCCGGTCCAGAAGAGATTAATTGTATTTATCGTTGTTGAGATTTCACTAGTGGTTTATATGATTGGAAAATTCATAGGTTCTGGCATATCCAGATCAAGGGAACAAACCTCAGCCATGTCAGTACAAGGTACAACTGCATTCAGCACTCTGTGCTTGTGGGAAGGGTGAAAATCCACCAGGTATCACCCACTTGATTGCTATCACGTGATACTTGTTGAAATCTGAGTGTGAGGCTATGCATCAGGCAATCATGGCAGCAAGGTCACCTATGGATGGAAAGCCTGCCAGCAATTTCAGTTAAGGTTCACACATGACAAAGAAAAACAACCAAATTCTCTCCACCACCAATGCTCAGTACCAGCAGTTTGTATTATCTACAAGATGTACTGCAGAAATTCAATAAAGATTCTTAGACAGCTCTTTCCAAACCCACTTTCATCTAGAAGACAAGGTCGGCAGATATATGGGAACACCACTACCAGCAAGTTCCCCTCCAGGCCACTCACAATTCTGCCGTGGAAATATATTGCCATTCCTTCACAGTCACTGGGTCAAAATCTTGGAATTCCCTCCCTCAGGGCACTGTGGGTCAACCTACAGTACGTGGATTGCAGCAGTTCAAGAAGGCAGCTCACCACCACCTTCTCAAGGTCAACTAGGGATGGGCAACAAATGTTGGACCAGCCAGTGACACCCACATCCCATGCATGAATAAAAAAGTGTGGAGAGTGTTGGGTGCTATGTATAACTTCAAGTTTAACTTCTATGTTGTATATCGTTTCAGTTTCATCTGTGACCTTGATGCTTTTGGTGACGAGGAGTCTGGAAGCCTGTTTTGTTTACTTGCATTCAATGAGGCTTTACAATATCAAAGTGAAGAGCTGGGGTTTATAGCAAATTACAAAAGAATAGAGGAAAAATACCTGCACTGTAACAGGTGTCCATTGACATACAGAGGAACAGAACAATCCAGAAAGCCAGAGGCCAACTAACTCTTCAAGCCTGGTTCACCACCTGACAAGATCACACTGATGTTAATCAAAGCTTTAATTCCACTTTCCTGTCTGCCCTCCATAATGTTCCTTGTAGACCAAAAGTCTGTTTAATTCAGCCCAGAATACATTCAAGGACCAAGTCTTCAGTGCTCTCTGGGGTAGGAAATATCATACTCACTCAGTTATTCCTTCTAGTACTTTAAAATTTAAATTATCTTCATTTCTGTCAAAGTAGCCTTTATTGTCTATGAATACTAAATGCCGATGATCATCTTCTCTGTATATGATATGAACTAAACTGATGTTATCCTGATTGTCACAGTTCATTTTCCAGCCATTTCGAGCACAAGTATCTTCTTTTCTGGGTCTGAATCCACAGCAATTCCTGTCAAGGCGATTATAAACCTGAAAGAACAAAGTCTCTATAATGATACTGAAATTACAATGAATTAATTATTCAGATTCCAATATCATTTTACAAATACAGAACAAGGATTAGAATATTATAAGTCTATTCATAATTAGACCACACAGTAATCATTCTAAATAGATAAGTTGTCTTTGACTTTGAAATTGTACTTGAGAAGAAATTTGGTTGTCATTTGAGTACCTCAATACTGTGCATATCTAACAGTATTCATTCCATATCTGACAAATAAATTCTCTAAATAAATGCAACAAACACAGAAAATGATGGAGAAACTCGGCAAGTCTGTTGAATCTTTGGAGAATGGTAGGACTTTTCTTCATGAAACGCAAAACATTAACTCTGTTTCTCTCTACACAGATGCTGCCAGACCTGCTGAGTTTCTCCACCATTTTCTGTGTTTGTTTCAGATTCCCAGCATTTGCAGTATGTAGCTTTTATCTAATCTTTTCTTTATGCAAAGTCAAAGATTCTTAAACATGGCTTTGGTTTTGCGGGCTTACAAGCCACTGAGCAGCCTAAAAATAATGTATTTCTTCTCCATTGTTTCTGACAGTTAATATGCTGAATTCTGTTGTTTCTTTGTACTCTTCTTCCTCCAATTTACCTGCTTATTTGTCTACAGTTCCTATCAGTAAAGCACATTTGAAAGTAATTGGATTTCAGAGTTTGAAAGCTTATTTCAGATGCATTTTAAGATCTACATAGACTTTGGGTAGTTATTTTGCCATCCAAAGGATTAAGAAGTTGACCTAATTTTTCTTTAATTAATTTTGTAATACCAAATTTGAGATATTTTCAAAATATTCAAATTAAAATTTCTGCTGAAAACTGGAATATTTTCTCTTATAATCAGAATTATTTTGCAATTTACAAACATTCACTTGATGCCACATGCACTGACAGAGATTGGCACTCTGTCTTACTTTTGACATAGAAGGAAAAATTATAGGTATTTGATGTACACTCTTGAATAGATAATGTACATTGAAACGGGCTTTCTTGTTGATACCTTAGACCAGGTTCTTCAAGAAGTTGCAATCTCATGCAGATTGCTATTCATTCCTTTTTTTCAACAAAAGCAGGGGCATTTATGAGAGTGGATTCTGATCAGACGTCCCTTAGAAATGTGAAGGCATTACAGCAAGGCAAATCATGCCCCCTTTCCACAGCAGTCAGTTGCCATACTCTGAAATTAATAAGTCCTAGCAGCCAATTTGACATCTGTTGTCAAATGATAAATATATAAAGTAAGTGTGATGTTAGTAGTGCTAGGAGGGTAGGGTTCCAGATGCGTAAGGGGATAGGGTGCCAGGTTACGGGCGACACGTGGCTCAGTGGTTAGCACTGCTGCCTCACAGCGCCAGGGACCCAGGTTTGATTCCACCTTCGGGCAACTGTCTGTGTGGAGTTTGCACGTTTTCCCTGTGTCTGTGTGGGTTTCCTCCGGATGCTCCGGCTCCCCTCCACGGTCCAAAGATGTGCAGGCTAGGTGGATTGGCCAAGCTAAATTGCCCATAGTGTTTAGGGATGTGTCAATTAGGTGGGTTATGGGGGCATGCGTCTGGGTGGGATGCTCTGAAGGTCGGTGTGGATTTGTTGGGCCAAAGGGCCTGTTTCCACACTGTAGGGATTCTATGGTAAGCAGGGAGCTGGAGATAGCAAGCCAGATGGATTGGGTGCCAGCTGAATTGGGTGCTAGCTGGGTAGGATGCCAAGTGAGAAGGTGTTAGGGTGTCAAATGGGTAGGGGGCCAGGATGCTGGGAGGTGAGGTAAGTGATGCAATATTTAGGTAGGGATGAGGAGTTTATTTTTGGATCAGGTCTGGCAGTTGGGGTTTCAGGTCAGTGTCTGGTGGGATTGTCAGGTCAGGTCTGGCAAGGGCAAGTTGGTATTAATCGACTCCAGCGGAAAGATGGAGGCGTGATTGAGTCCAGTGGGGGTGAAAGAGGGCTCAGGTCCCAGGAAGAGTGGTGCCAGTTTAGTATCTGGGGGCTGTAAAGAGTCTGGGGGAGGTTTTGTTGTGGGTGTGTGAGGTAACTATGGGGTCTGTTTAATAGTTGGATAGGGGTTAGATTTTGCATTTAATAGTTTTATTTTTCCTGAGAAACTGATTCATTTAATTTCATCATTATTAAAGTCTCTGATTTAAATGGACACTTTGGAAGGGTCCAGGCATAGTGAACTTGCCAAGTGGAATCTTCAATTTCCCAGGCAATTCCCGTGAAGTGTGCTGTCACAAAGTCCTCATGCGTAGGATCATCTATGCTGGAATAATAATTCTCTGGCCAGCTGAAAATCCAGACCATAATAAATTCATGAGTGGAATCAGTGCCAAAACGTATACTTCTGGCTTTGGTGTCAAATGGAGCTCATGATCTCATTTTTACCTTGGCTTGAATTTCGATTTTAAGTAAATGTTTCCTCAATATGACTTCAAGTAAAAGAAGAAATTATTTTACCAATTTTTGGAAATCACGAATGATCAGAATGTTCTCTAAAAATAAATTTTAAAAACACTGGAAATACATTGGTAGGAGATTTGAAGATCTCTGTACTTGGTTAAAAGCTTTATATTTCTTGAGTTCTTTCGGTTCTGATGAAAATCAACAGCTTGAAATATTAACTCTACTTCTCCTTGCACTGAAGCTGCCAGACCTGATGAGGTGTGATGATTGTTAAGGTGATTGTCACCTGATGACTCCCATAGTCTCAAATCAGAAACTATCACACAGGCATCACCATCAGAGGCCCATCATAGAATAGAAGCCTTACAGTGTAGAAGTAGGCCATTTGGCCTATCAAATCAACATCGACCCTCCAAACAGGATCCCACTCAGACCCACTCCTTACCTCCTACCTTATCCCTGTAACCCTGCATTTCCCATGGCTAATCCATCTCCTGCACATCCCTGGACACTATGGACAATTTAGCGTGATCAATCCACCTAACCTGAACATCTTTGGACTGTGGGAGGAAACTGGAGCACCCAGAGGCAACCCACACAGACACGGGGAGAATGTCACAGACAGGTGCACGAGGGTGGAATTGAACCTTGGTCCCTGGTGCTGTGAGACAGCAGTACAGCCACCATAGTGCCCGTTATGCTAACAACTGACAAAAGGGGTAACTCATGAAGCAACAGTTTCCACACTCATTACTTAGAGCTTACATGTAAGAAAATATGCTCATTTCAATGGTATGGAGAGTGTACAGTTGTTGCAGAGCTTCCAGATTTCTAACAGGTCAAAACACTATTCATATGGTCTGGGACCTGTTCACATTGCAGTCAGGAAACAATGGTTCTTCCTTTATGTAACTGGCGTTGTAGGGCTACAAACTTGCAACAAAGTCACAGGACTTAAGTTATGAGGGTGACATATTCCCATGATCACTCACTTCACAAATAAAACACTAGCTGAATGCATTTTTCAGTAGCTTATGTTGAAGACTTAAACATTATAATGGTTTTCTGAGTTTGCTAGGCATCTATATGAACAAAAGTAATCTTTATTGTTTTGGACTCTTAGCCTTTTGATTTCAGCTGTTTTTATGTATTCTTCTTCCTATCATTCCCACTGTAATATTTCCTATCCAGGAACATTTTTTTCTAATGTTAATCATCCAGAACATGCATATGTAAGAAGCTGACTGGTATACCAGCACTACTGGCACTGCCACAAAATCTTGTTCCATTCGACGTTTACTTGAACCTTGGGGAATTAAATAATTTCTGCTCCAAAAAAAAACAGAAGGAAGTGCAAATCTGGTTACTTCATACATTTATACACAGAAAAGAACTGGGAAAGGAAATGACTAACTAACTGTTATCTAACCAAAAAATCATAAATATTTAACTCAAAAATGTGCACAAAGGAGTACCACCACTCTGCTTTACATTTAATTTGATTTCAGATTGAAATTGTCCCCTCAGAAAATTGTTTTGTAAAAGCATAGAGAAAAGGCTTAAAAGCAAATACAAAAAGACTGTTTAGATTCTTGGCCTTGAAAAGAAGGAATGCTGAGTCTTGAAAAATTGGAACTGCCGCTTAACTACAGCTTTTCCACAGACATTCCAGTCTAGGTATTTTTGAAATAGTTATGAATCCATTGTTCCTTAAGTACAACATGTCAAATAACTCATGATCCTCTGTTACAGGGAATTACTAGTTAACCCAGGAAGGGCCAAGGAGTAGCATATGGATGTGAGATAAATACGATGTGTTGCATTTTGGCAAGACAAACAAGGGCAGGACTTATACAGTTAATGGTAGGGCCTTGGAGACTGTTGTTAAACAGAGAGACTCAAGGGTTCAGATGCAGAGTTCCTTCAAAGTGGCACCACAGGTAGACAAGGTGGTGAAGAACGCATTTGGTACGCTTGTCTTCATTGGTCAGAGCACTGAGTGTAGGAGTTGGGATGTCATATTGCAGATGTACAGGACATTGTTAAGGCCACATTTGGACTACTGTGTACAATTCTACTCACCCTGTTGTAGGAAGGATATTATTAAATTGGAAAGGTGCAGAAAAAATTTACAAAGATGTTGCTAGGACTGGAGGGTTTGAGTTATAAGGAGAGGCGGGATTGGCTGGGACATTTTTCCCTGGAGCGTAGGAGGTTGAGGGGTGACCTTATAGAAGTTTATAAGATTGTAAAGGGGCATGGAAATGCTGAATTGTCTTTTCCCCAGGATGGTGGAGTTCAAAACTGGAGGGCATAATTTTAAGGTGAGAGGGGAAAGATTTAAAAGGGACCCTGAGGGGCAACTTTTTCACACAGAGGGTGGTTCGTATATGGAATGAACTGCCAAAGAAGTGATAAATGCAGGGCAGTTACAACATTTAAAAGACATTTGAACAGGTACATTAATAGGGAAGGTTTAGAGGGATATGGGCCAGAGCAGTGAAATAGGATTAGTTCAGTTTAGGAAACCTGGTCGGCATGGACAAGTTGGGCTGAGGGGTCTGTTTCC